CTGCTCAACTTTCTGTAGACTTCTCTCCTGAAAGAGTAAGAGCTGTAAATTGGTGACCTCCTCACCTCACTAGAGCTGAACCATTTCCCCATGGCTTCTAAACCAGAGATATTCATGCAACTAAAGTGGAGACATTGTCTAAAACACAAAGCTGAGTTAACAATGTAGCAGCATTAAAAATGGACCCACCTGAAGGAATAGAAAGAGCTGCCCTGCAGAGGGACAGAGTGCGAAGAGACAGTTGGTCCCAGTAGGAACACTGTTTGCCCTGAAGGCGAGTGAAGCTGTTTTGGAGGTAGCCCTCTTGGAAGTGGGAGGGGCGATGTAACCCCAGCAGGGTTTGAATGAGAGAGGTTAGCAAAAGAGCCCTGGCCTGGGATTGGCTGAGAGGCTTGCTTAAAAGAGGGGAGCAGTTTTCCTGGGGGGAGAACAAAGGAGAGAGGGAGAGGGCAAGAGATGGGCTGGAGACCAGGGAAAGGATCTCCCCACAGCCGCCTCCCCCGAGAGCCCCTGGCAGAGCCATGCAGAAGTAGCAGCGAGAGGCTGCATCGAGAGTGCTGCACTATGTCCGTTCTCCCTCCCTTCCCTTCCAAGCCCTGCAGGCCAGGACAAGAGAAGAGCTGGCTGCGAGGAGACTCCAAGCCTGGGAAGACCCTCCTGAAAGCCCCTGTGTGGCTGGGTGAGCACAGCAAGGGAGGCGGATGCAAGACCAGGGGAAGAGGCTGCCCTGGTTTTTCCCCTGTGAATGAAAAGGCCCCTGGGTGCTGTGCGGCTGTGCTGGGCAAGGGAAACTGTTACAACCTGCAGCCCAGATACTGCTCCCTGCTGAGCCAGGGAAGGGGACTGGGCAGGAATAAGCTCTCTTTCAGGGACCTCAGGAGAGGAACCCCCACCTGCTGCATGGAGACCCCTGGAGCTCGTGCGAGGGATGCCAGCACCAGGGACCACCCAAAGATCCTGTGCAAGGACACAGATGCAGTCCTGCTCCCTGAGACACCCAGCCAGGAGTAGTGCACACAGGGTCCTTACTACATAGTGTACAAGTTATAGACTGTGTAAATAAGTTCTTGATGGTTTATTAGTTGGAGTATCAATGTATTTATGTATTGGTTCCCTATTTATCATGGGTAGTTTGTATATCTTCCCCTAGTGTAAAGTGTATTCAAGAAGCATTAACCCTTAAGCCACCATCACTAGGTCATGTGGTGTAACATTTGTTCTATTGCATTGGTTATATGTTACCTTGTAAATAATTAAATCCTGTAAATAGTCTTATAACTGTCTGCACGGTTGTTTGATAGTAAGGGAAGGCTTTCTGCTCGGGGACCCTGCAGCAGCTACCTAGGGAGCTGGGCAGGGCTACCGGGTACCCCAGGATCCCACTATTCAGGTGAAGGCACAGATAGTGTCGCGCCCAGGGTTACAACGATAAATGGTGCTAAAGAGTGAGTGAATGCTACAGGTTGGCTTTTCCCCAATAGATGGGATCTGTCCTACCAAATCCAATATGCCTTTGCAGAATTTCATTAATTGTAAAGGGCATCTGGACCTGACTCAGAAAAGTACTAGAGCATGTAGTTAAACGGAAGCACAAGCTTAAGCTTTTTCCTGAATCAGTCTCTGTATGGCATAAATTTCTGCCAATGCACCTCAGAGTGCAGAGCATGGACCATGAATTTGAAACACATTCCAAATTCTGGAGGAGTTCAGAAGGATGAGGTAGCAGAGCTACATTTAATGCTACAGCAGAGCTTACATTAAATGCTACAGCTCCAGAAACATGACTGCAAGTCCTACTCTAGCCTTACATCAAAGGCTACCCCTACCTGAATCCTACTCATTAAGACTGGAGAATCAAAGGTGACCATAAGTGATACTACCCATGTCACTCCTTTGTGTGCTATTGGTGGAGAAACTAGTGGGCCTTGACCACACTAACCCAGTGGGCCATGAGGCTTGGATGTACCTTTTTTAGGGGGTTGTAAAGAAAGGGAAGGTTCCAAAATGTGCATCCAGTTTCTTAAATTCTCTAAAATTCAGTGGTGCTTGGATTTAGGGCTGTGGTTTTGGATCCATCTCTTGTGTTTTATTTGATTTTAAATACTTCAATCTTAAGATAATATATTTAGCCTTTGCAAAACAAGCAAGCAATAACATGATGGCAGTGAACCTGATAGAAACGGTTATTTTTGTTCACACATGGCTCTAGGGGTCTAACAAATTTATAAACATTGTTTTATGAAAATTGAGATCACTCTTGGAAATGCTGACTAAAGAAAATGACCTTTTCTTGTTTTTGTACTGTATTTCTTTTTGCTGCTATTGTTGCTATGGAGGTGATAGCCAGTATCTGGTAATGGTTGTCTCTCCATCATACACATTTCTTAGGTTAGCATGGGTGTAATTGACCAAAAACGAGAGCAAAAAAAGAGGGTTTTTTGAGGGGCGGGGGTTGTGTTGTCTTGTTTTGGTTTTTTTTTAAGAAACAGACTGAGGCAGTGGCTATTGTCAGTATTTCAAAAGCTGTCTGACCCTGGACCATCTCCATAGAGCAGTTAAGAAAAGTTCAAGAGAACAAGAGACCAGATGTTGCCATGACCTACTTCGCACAGGACAGCCTTGATTGTAATGGGACTGACAGGATGTAAACCAATGCAGAAGTAAACCCATGATTGCTCTCCACCCTGCCCTTATCTAGATGTGCTTGAAGAATTTGGACATGCTTTTTTCACTTTGAAGTGTGACTACTATAAAAACATTGCTAACATTTCAGGATTATGTTTAAAAAATCCTGAAAGCTATGTTTTTAAAACAACTGATTGTTTGACAACTGAAGACTTTTTTATTGCTTTAAGCTTCACATTTTTAGTTGCTGAAAAAACTATATACAGATAAAACCCTAAACATTAGAAATGTAAAATATTGCAGGGCAAATCATTTCCTTATTGTAGTTCCCTTACATTAAATGCACTCAGAACATGGAGGTAAACCCACCTAAGAAAGCTACAGATGAAGTCCCTTGCGAATCATTTGTATGGTTCCCTAGAACTTCAATGGGTTGGGTCCAGGTTCTTTTTGAGGACAAAGAGGGTAAAGTTGACAGCACTTTCAAAGGAAATAATCATTTTAAACATATATGAGTCAAACTGGAGTTCTCAAACTGAACTTCAAGCCAAATATTGCTAACAGTGAGGTGTGCTGGAAAATAAATACATGCTATAAGGACACGTGCTGTGTCTGTTAAAAAAAAACTGGCAGAAAACTGGGCAGCTGGGTGCTTTGGCAGATTGACAGGCCTGCTAACCTAGTGGGGAGGGCGTTAAATGAGGTTTGCCGGGGGATGGAGACCAAAGCCCTGAGGTAAGTGGGGAAATGGACCTGTAGGAAGAGCAAGCAGGAGAGAGCAATAAGGATACTTTCTGAGAAATCAGGGCAATCAACTAATTACCTTAGGTGTCTGTACACAAATGCAGGGAGCCTGTGAAACAAGCAGGAGGAATTGGAAGTCCTCACACAATCATGGCACTATGCCATGATTGGAATAACAGACTTGGTGGGGTAGCTTGCATGACTGGAGCACTGTCATGGATGGGTAAAACTGTTCAGGACAGACAGGCAGGGGAGAAGAGGAAGTGGAGTTGGGCTGTATGTAAAAGACCTGTATGATTGCTCAGAGCTCCAGGTCGAAACTGGAGATAGGCCTGTTGAAAATTTATGGGTAAGGATCAGAGGGGAGAGCAAAAAGAGTGATGTCATGGTGGGGGTCTGCTGTAGATCACCAGACAAGGAGGAAGTGGTGGATGAGACTTTCTTCAAACAGCTAGCAGAAGTTTCCCAATCACAAGCCCTGGGTCTAATTGGGGACTGCAATCACCCTGACATCTGCTGGGAGAGCAATACAGCAGTGCACAGGCAATCCAGGAAGTTTTTCAAGAGTGTTGGGGACAACTTTCTTGTGCAAGTGCTAGAGCACCCAACAAGGGGCCATGCTCTTCTTGACCTGCTGCTCACAAACAGGGATGAATGAATGGGGAAGTGTAGTAGTGGATGGAAACTTGCGCAGCAATGACTATGAGATAATAGATTTCAGGATCCTGAGGAAAGGAAGGATGGAGAGCAGCAGAGTAGGGTCCCTGTGCTTCAGAAAAGGAGACTATGACTCGCTCAGGGAACTCATGGGCAGGATCCCCTGGGAAACCAGTCTGAGGGGCAGAAGAGTCCAGGAGAGCTGGCTGTACTTTAAAGAAGAGAGTTCAAGAACAAACCATCCTGATGTGCAGGAAGACTAGCAAGTATGTCAGAAGACTACCTTGACTTACCAGGGAACTCTTCAGTAAATTAAATCACAAAAAGGAAGCTTCTAAGAAGTGGAAACTTGGACAAAGAACTAGGGAAGAATATAACAGCACTGCTCAGGTATGCAGGGATGAAGTCAAGAAGGCCGAAGTGCATTGGAGTTGCAGCTAGCAAGGAACATGAAGGATAACAAGAAGGTTTTCTAGGGTATGTGTCGGTAACAAGAGGAGGATCAGGGAAAGTGTGGGTCCATTACTGAATGGGGGAGACAACCTTGTGACAGAGGATGCAGAAAATGCTGAAGTGCTCAATGCCTTTTTCACCTCAGTCTTCACAGGCAAGGTCAGCTCCCAGACTGCTGCACCAGGCAGCACAGTTTGGGGAAGAGGTGAGCAGCCAACAGTGGCAAATGAACAGGTTAGGGACTATTTAGAAAAACTGAACATACACAAGCCCATGGGGCCAGATGGGATGCACCTGAGGGTGCTGAGGGAGTTGGCTGAAGTGATTGCAGAGCCATCAGATATCATCTTTGAAAACTCATGGTGATCAGGAGAGGTCCTGGATGATTGGAAAAGGGCAAACATAGTACCCATATTTAAGAAATGGAGAAAGAAGAACTACAGACCAGTCAGCCTCGTCCAAGTTTCAGGAAAAATCCTGGAGCAGATCCTCAAGGAAGCCATTTCTAAGCACTGGGAGGAGAAGGTGATTAGGAACAGCCAGCCTGG